GTCAGTTTGGCCGAGTGGTCTAAGGCGCCAGACTCAAGTTCTGGTGGAGAGATCCGCGTGGGTTCGAACCCCACAGCTGACATACTAAACTTTCTTTTCGGAGGGATGGTCCAACTTGTCCCGATTTAGAGATCGAGATAGGTAAAAACCCCTAAGACTACCCAATAGTGAGAAGCTCCGCATAACCAGTCAGTTTGGCCGAGTGGTCTAAGGCGCCAGACTCAAGTTCTGGTGGAGAAATCCGCGTGGGTTCGAACCCCACAGCTGACATACTAAACTTACCTTTGAGAGGGACCGTCCAACTTGTCCCGACTTGGAGATCGAGATAGTTTAAAAACCCCGAGTCTACCCAATAGTGAAAAGTTTCACACAACCAGTCAGTTTGGCCGAGTGGTCTAAGGCGCCAGACTCAAGTTCTGGTGGAGAAATCCGCGTGGGTTCGAACCCCACAGCTGACATACTGAACTTACCTTTGAGAGGGATCGTTCAACTTGTCCAGACTTGGAGACCGGGACAGCCGTGAGACTACCCGATAGTCAAAGCACGAATACAAACAGTCAGTTTGGCCGAGTGGTCGTAATACTAGTGATATTGTTGAGATTTCTTTCTGAAAGTGGTCAATACCTCCCTTAAACTATGACCCGATCATTATCAGAACACGAGCCCACTCTTCACTCCAGAAACATGTTTAGCAACCCATCATGGAGCAAACTCAGTGGTATGGACTGGGCCAAGGGATGGTGACCGACCCCAGATTCGACGGCCATCTCTTCTTGTTGTCTGGATGAACTATATAATAACCGTGGTATTTCCTCTCCTTTGGTTTCGTCTTCCCCGTAGTGAGTCTCTCCATATACTTCAGGCGCCGGCGTCTGAACTCACCCAAGGGTCAAGCCGCACGAACTCGCCTCCACTCACCGGAATAAAGGATCCACGAAGCGATGGCGGTGTTCCATGAACAGCCGTTGGCGCTTTGGAATCGGGGACTCGAGATTCTGAAACCCACTGACTAACCTGCTGAGCTCGGCAAATGCAGAATCCAAGCTTAGATACGCGAGAGGAATTCAAGGGTTCAACTTTGGGACCCAGCTGGCTCTTCTCCGCCTACCCGGTTTGACGGACACATTATTTCCTTGAACCTTGATCTAGCCTGTTTACGACGTTGACGCTGAACACCAGTAATAATATGCTACTGTTGAGTGGATATCGCTTCACTTACATATGCTGCTCTTCTGCTCTCTAACAGTTTGGGGGAGAAGTCCGAGTTCCCAAATCTCATATTGAGACGAACATGTTTGAGCGTCCTGACGGGGGTAGTCGGTACTTCCACGGCACCGTCATCATCGACCGCCGTCAGCTCGGCATCAAACTCGCCGCTAGGCGGCAGGTCAAATTCGTTGACTGAGAACAAATAACCAAACTGGATAGGAGCAAATGCATTTATTCATCTTTTTCGCCGACACTCGAATCTCACTGATCCGACCATCATCGCTCCTGGTCCCTCGTTTCTACCTTCCCGTTTTTCTTCCTCTTTAGATGTAGCAGCGACGTCATAACCACTTTCCCGATAAATGTCCTCCTCTGTCAGGCCTCCCAGAGCTTCCATTCCTGCTGTCGCCTCCAGATTGTCCTCTTCCAGCAAAGAACGCACCGAAGAACCCTCGTCCTGAAAGACCCTGTAGTATGGCCATATTCCCTCCAACCACTTCGGTCAGTCAGCGACTCGGGGATGCACCACCAACGATGCCCACTGGCGATAGTCCTACCACGATATCCAGCCCCGTCTCGCTAGCGACCTCTGTTTCATCGAACTCGAGATGAACATCCGCAGCGCCCGACCACGGTATGGGTATCTCGTGCTCCCGGAGGGCGTCCATTGCCATAGACCTTGCCTCGGCAGGCGTACTAGCATGCATCTAGATGGTAAATAGCCTCGGATTTCCCTGCTACAAGTGAACGAGCTAGAGCAGAGCCCTACAGTGATTCTGCGATCGATCTTCTCATAGTCCAAGTTTCCAAGATTGTCCTTTAGTAAGGACATCAAGAACATGAGCTCATCTGTTGCCTTCTCGAAAAGCCTCCCATTCTCTAACACCAACGACCTCATTACAACGCTGCTCGACAACGAAACTACCCAAGTCGACTTCTGCAGCCTCGGTGCTTCCAGACCCACCAGGGACGTATCCCGGACCAAACATCGGTGGAGTTTCCCGGTAGATCCTCTCGGACACTTGGAACGATAATGGGCTCTCAGAGTCCATCAGACGATACCTATTGCAGTGTTAACTGCGAAGCGCATTGACCTCAAATGCTACATCGCATGGAGGTCTTGAAACGCTGGCTCCTTCCGAAAGGATTCCTCATCTAGCTGTGACAGGAAGGCCCTTATCCGATCCTTGTGCTTATACACCCTATGCATGACCTGGGACACTTAGCCAATGCGAGCAGGGCGATTTCAAAGTTCCAACCAACCTTGTCAAATTGATCCATCGCAGGATGCTTCTTCCTATGATAGCGCTCTGCTTGCATCTCGAAATAGTCTCCAACCTTGAACTCAGGGACGTTGTATTTACTAGGAAAGTACCATTCAGCATACTTCGGGCCCTCGAGCGGCTTTAGAAACCATCGCTCACCTAAATTAGCGAGAAACCATCAACTAGAGGTTATGGAGACCAACAATACACAGATGGAGCCAACTAGCTCTCGCCCCAGCCACATTGTCCTGCACTACCCGGCATGCCCTTCATCGGCCCCCAAAGTCTATCCTGCATCTCCTGAACATGCTGCTGCTTCACACCACGCAAGTGCTTCACTGCGGCCCCACTCCATCGCATATCTCACGCAAGCTACTTACAGGAGCCCCTTCGCTTCATTACAAACACAACAGCCTGGTGATGGCGAAACGGTGTCATTTAAAAAGGCAGGTTACTAGCCTTTCCAGTACTCACATCTATGGTGTCTATCACTCCTCATCTGAAACAGAACAGATACCGAAAAACCATATTCAAAGGATAGACTCACCGTCAGGCTTCTCCGGCTTGGCCGCCGCCATGAGCGTATTGATCTCATCATCAGAAAGCATTCTGAAAGCGACCTCATTATCCTTGTTGAGAGTCAGGACACCAAATTCAACTGAGCAGGCATCAATGAAATCACACTCAGGTAGTCGGTCGACTCACGGGTCTCAGCCGTGGGTGTAGCAGTGTCCATGGACTTCACCAATACCTTGGCTACTAGATCCAAGCAGTCCTGAGAAGAACCATCACTCATGTGAAGAAGCACGTCGCTACACCAACCTTAGTGGACATGTCCTCATGCCAATCAGTTTTGAGGATGCCCTGTGCCGTTTGGTTGTTCACGCCAATAGCCGTGGCCTTCCACCCGCTGAGATTGCCAGACGGGTCAGTGTGGTACCTGCACGACTGTGATGATCGAAGTTGGGCAAGGAGAACACCGACAGTTGGAATCCGTAGTGGTCATCATAACCAGCGAAGAGGAAAGATACACCAAAGGGACGGAGACCGCCGAATTGGGTGTATCTGCCATGCAAGGGAGGTCACAACATCCGTCATACAAATGAGTCAACTCACTGTTGTTTCACATCGCATATGCTGGTCACTAGTTTTTCTACTGGTATCGGTTCTTGATACGCGTAGCGATACCTATATTAACCATCACTGTTGGCCACTGTGATTGCTTTTGCCACTACCTCTGAGCTGACAGTCGCAGCTGATTAATAAGAACGTTGGCATCACTTGTAATACCAGCAACAGCGCACACAACATGGTCATCTATAGGATAGATCTTCTCACTCGCTTTACCAGACTCGAGGAGTTTACTAAGGACAGACACATCTCATCAGCAGGGTGCAGGTAACAATACCTGATAGTCTTCTTTTCACCAGCCAGAATAACACACTGCTTGCCGAGCACACCAACCGTCGATCCGGCATTGTTGATAGCCTCCATCGCATACTCAACCTGATCCGAATATATCAGAGCTATTCACGCCACTGTGCCCATGGTCAACTATATTCTAACGCTGTTTGAATGAGCCGTGTATGCTTGAAAGTGTTACCTGATAAAGCCTGCCTTCCGGGGAAAACGTAGTAGTACGACTATCGTAGCGACGGGCCATGGTTCACTGTATGAATAACAACAACTACTACCCCCCCCCAGGGATTACCAAAGACACTAGCATGAGACAGCCCCGGCCTTCGGGGAAGCGGTCATCACTACGCCACGAACGCAAGAAGTAATTCGCTGGTTACTGGTGAAACTTCTGAACACGTTGCTACTCTTTATCGTCACCATTAACGTCATCTTTCTCATCATCGGAGCCATACCCAAGGCACTTTCCCACATGGTATTTATTCAAAGACTCGAACTCTCGGCAGAGGCTCATGCCGCACAACAACTGGTTCACCTGCAGGGATACGGTACGTTCAACTAGCAACAGGTCCTTCACCAACATTCCCTTCTTTTCGAGCCTACAGAACTTACCTCAACTAAGAGTGTCAACTCCGCTCCAACTATCGACACTGCATGCTTATCGTCATCAACAAAAGGGCTGACCAGATCCAACACCATCTGCCGCTTCATGTTACCTAATGCATACCACATCATCAACGTAGCCCTGAATCCAAACGGCGCTAGTATGCCAGGCTCAGTGTTGAAATTCATGTTTGGTTCCCTCAGCTGACCTCAAGAGTTTCCTCACTACATATAGAAGTTTACCCGTAAAATCGAGTAGAAATGTACAAGAATCAATGAGAATTTCCATAAATTTCATCTGAATCTTGATATTGTCATCAACACACGTAGTTTACCATATGCATATTGCCCATCATGGCCACACTTCGTTTGGAGACAAAGTCAAACTCTATATAGTATTGGTATTTGATGTTATTATTGTATCACTCATATTGCGACTGTTGATCTCCATTTTCCACGTCTCGGTGCCCTGACTCTCCTTGCCCAAATGCTCCGCCACGAATTTCTCGCCCATCACCTTCAACGAGTCAGGATTGGGAGCCCGAACAATGTCCAATGGTGATATCTGAAAACATGAAATCTCCAAGGGTGTTTCTATGCAATTAATAGCAGTACCCGGCACACATTGCTCGGTGCAGTGAGGTCCTTTGATTTCAGCAGACTGTGCACAAACTCTGATGGCTTCATGGTGACACCGGCCTCAAAACGAATGAATACCACTCCTCGGCAAACGTCTCCCCCGAAACGGAACAGTCTGTTCTTCTCTTCCTTCAACTCAGCCAGCTCGGCCTCAATGCTTTCACTAACATTCGCTGTGCCCTCCTCTGTAGTAGACTTCTTATCAGCATCGGGGTTGATAGCAGCCCAATGGAGCTCGAATAAGCGTATTATATCCCTTGTGGCGGTTTTTACACGGTTGGGCAAATTGCACGTTATGATTACACCTAATAGAAAAAACATTTCCCTAATCTCTATGGCGTCCCATAGTACCTCTAGCGTCTGCGTCCAATCCTTCCAAGGGGATTTTCTCGATCGCCCGTCGCCGCTTAGCATCATGTCGCGAGTAATGCCGACCGCCGCGCTTTCCAGGCATGCCGAATCAAACCTGACCGTGTGAAGTACACAAAATCCTCTCTATCCAACAATAACACCCCATCGTATTCTTGAGACTAATCTTGAATTCCCACATGGACGTTGCTGCTGCCTCCCGACAAAGAGGGTTATAGAGTGGAATTCGTAATAGGCATCCTATGTACCGAACCGGATGCGCTCCAAGCGAAGGCGAAACTCATCGTAGGTCGTCTTTGCACCCGTAACAGGTGCATCATACCGTGAAGGAGAGCCATGCATTCTGGCGGAAGCAGCGTCTAATCCCGAGGACATTGTCAGCCAGAGAACTAATCTCACTATATGCCGGTTTGGCGGCCGAGCTGCTTGTAGATCAGCGAGGTGGCACACTGCGACACTCGTTTATTCGCATGGGAAGGTGGCGGTAGAACGAGGCGTGACGCGGGAAGAGTCTGATAGCCATCCAGATCTGACCACAGCCTCTGTCCTGCTGTTACCATCGACCTGATAGTTGACCACGAGTCAATGTCGGTACCGGATTGGGCATACCAGGAGGCACACTCCCATACCAGGCCAATCAGCGCGGAGACCGCTATGTTTCAGTAAATCGATTCGCCCGATCTCATTGCACGCTCGTACAGAAGCCGACACTGCCCAGCGAGAGAGTCGTATACCTTCATCTGGCTCGGAATGTGGTAGCATTTCCCACCTAGCGTCTCTGCAGAAAAACTTCAAGAGTAAAGGGACCGTGCAAGCCCAAGCCCTGCACAGCATAATACGAGTCATACCATGCGACACCATACGCGAGCAAACACTATGCCTTCAATGAGCGGAGCGAAACATGCAGAATGAATGATAGATCCCGTATTATAGCTGCCGCCCATGGAGCATTCAAAAATTTGAGAAAGCTGTGAAATAATAACAGCGGAGCGACGCACATAAGAGCTAGATATCTTTGAGTTTGTTGAATCGCTGCAGTAGTTCATCGAATTCTGCATCTTCGATCTCCCCTTCTCCCACCTTGTCTCGGCATCCGAACCCGACCTAAGAAGATTCCCTACACACTCACATACGCTCGCGTCAGCGTAGTAATAGCATCAGTGGCGAGGGAACATTGCAATCTTTGATACACCATAGCATAAAACACTATACTCTTCCTGCAAAACCAGAGGTACAAACGCATCCTACTCGATTTCTGACGTGCATTCATTGATGTTCGGGTTGACGAGAAGTTCCCATCTTCCTCGTCTTCACCACGTATCTTCTTACGTAGGGAAGGATGACGGGGAGAGGCAAAGGCAGATGGGCTGGGAATGTCGAAGCGACACCCTGGAGGATACGAGTCAGCTACCAGGCGACAAACTACCAAAGTACTCGGTCGACGCGGAGTGCCTTGTGAGTTGATCGCTGGCAGAGCCTTACTGGCTGAGGTGTGGCCCGCAGGGAAAGGACCTGAGGCTCAATGATCCACCATACTCCGTATCTTACGTGAGTTGCTGATGGATTGCTCTTCCTTATCCAAATCCTCAAAGACAAGCTCATCTGCCTCCGGATTCGGTACAAAGCCAGTAGTGTCCTTATCCGGGGTCGAGGATGACTCCGGCAGAACTGACGATAACACTATTCCCAAAGCCCAAAGCTTTGCTCCGTCTTACCCGTAGGCTCACTCGAACTAGGCGAGATCTGCTGTTGTGTAACACTAGGCGGCGTCGTGGACGCGGGAATAGATGGGGAATGCGAGATAGTCAATGCATCAGCTAACTTCTCCTCAATCGTCAAAGGGCGCTTCCAGTCCACCTGAACCTTCTTTCGAGGGCAAGCAGGAGCCTATCCGACCCCACACCAAACTTATCAGCTATCTCGTCCAACGTATCCAGTATCACACTTTCGTTTAGGGATGTGATCGTCAGAAGACCTACATAAAACGAGCATAAAAACAAGCTCCTCATATTACCGCTTCCTGCTACCTACAAACCTCGGCGCTACATCTTGAGTGGAATTATCGATATACTGTTGACACCAAATGCGGCCATACTTCAGCTCAAATTGCCTCACACAGTTAGCCATCTCGGGTACCGTCAAGCGCACCCCAGCATAGATCATCGTGGCGATAGGGCAGATGAGATCGGGAGGACATTCCTTCACCAGAGGTGATGCCAACGGTCTCAACTCCAACAGCGACCTTACTTTCGACTGATCAATATACTGAATCCTCGTATAGAGCAGCTCGCAGTGTGTCTCTAAAATATCATAGGCACTCTCCAATTTCTGATTCGCGATCAGCTGCTCTGCCTTGATCCTAGCTTTCTCCTCTCGCCCCTAGAGCCGTTAGACTATCAAACAAGATGACCCACACTAACTTGAGTCACCTGCCGGAGCATCTCCGCTATCTCACGCTCAGCTATTCGCTGCCACTTGATCACTTTGTTCCTCTGTAGTGTGCAACGTTTGCCCGCCAGCTAAACAATGAAAAAATGAAGGTAGGGCGGAAGCACAGAGACAGCGAAAAGTCACCTGCAAGCTTGCCTTGCACGTAGACGCTTTCCAGCGGTCAAATATTCCCATGACGCTCTTCTTGAAAGAAGACATCGGGCGAATGGTCCGCCGCGAAAAGTACAGCACCCTAAAATACGAGCGTGGTGATTCGAACCTGGGTCTTCTCGGGTTCTCGCGGTTTCTCCTCAGCTCACCGATAGCTCACCGATATCGCGCTGGAGTAAAACTGGTAGGGTACCGTAGGCGACAACAGTTCGATCATTTCCCCTCGCATATTTCCACAAACGGTCAATCCATTAGGAACTCGTAAGAGAGCAAGGTCTATACCTTGAAAATCTCAAAATCAATAAATTTCCGAAGCTTGTACGTTAATGACAGTATTATACAACGTCAAAAACACTTTTTGCGTCTTATTACACAACTAGCAGTTATACTCTGCTCATTCGTATCTGTCGTCAGTGCGCTTCTTATGTGACTGCCCCTCTACGGTGTAGTTTCAGCGATCAGTGACCGAGTATAGTACGGAACGATTCTTATCGAAGCCTTCCCAACTAACTCAGCAGCGATACTGAGTGGTTCAGCCTGAGACCCTATACATAACAAACTCAAGGCTAGATTACTACAGTTAGAAAGGACAGAGAACTTTAAGAATGCCAAGGCATGAGAATATCACTTCACAATAGAAACAGACGTTTCGGCCGGCTCGATACTCTCGGATTCATCGGCGCTACTATGATATTCATCGTTGATCTTGTCTCGGACAAAAAAGGCAAAGTCAGGGTTGCCAAAATACTTGCAGTGACTCGCGACCGCAGCCACGTACTCCCCTGCTGATTCTATGAACGAATCTTGCAAGACCTGAAAATCGCGGTTCATCTCGCTAGCATGAACAGGCATTACCCAATCGATTCTCTCGCCACGGTTGGCCTTCTTTATTTTCTTCACAACTTCGCTGTATTTTTTCTTCTGTGAAGGACATAGAAACAAATTCCGCTGATTCGATCAACTATTCATACCTCCGCTGAGTCAAATCCTAGAAGATTCTTCACCGGCCTCATGAGCGT